AGCATTCATGAAGAAACAAGATAGTTCCAGAAACTAGAGGGCGCCACCTGCAGTCATGTGACTCGATGACGCAACACTGCCCCCTCCACATACAATAAACCAATAACAATTAACAATAACTTAATTAACTGTACAGAATTACAAACACAAAATTATAATTCAACAAAGTCTCTTAATTTTACGGGACGTGTCTTCTTCCGTACTGGTCTCCGTCTCGTTGGCTTCTGCTTCACCTGGGGTTCATCTACTTCATCAGGAAATGTCCCATCATCGGTAACATCAGTGGTAGTAACTTCACCAAGAGCTTCACCGTTTCCCTTCTCAAAACTGAGTAGAGCTTCTTCTTCGACGGTGGCACGTCTTCAGCAGCGTCATTTGTTCTGTTTTCCACTTCGTCCCAACTGAAATGTCCTGGACCGTGATAACGCCAAAGCCTATTGGCATGCACCACTTTTGGCTTACCTCGCCGACCACATTTTACCTGGAAAGTCACGTCTGAGAGACGATCCACTATGTCATATGGGCCTTCCCATGGAGAAGACAACTTAGGAGACTACCCTTTGGTCTTCCTGGGATTATACAACCACACCTTGTCTCCTGGTACAAAGCTGACTTCAGCAGATCTCTTATCATAAGTTAACTTCATCGAATCAGCAGACGTTTTCAAGTTTGAACGCACTTGATGGTGAATATCATCCATCCTTTCAGATAACACTTTCACAAACTCTGACATATTCGCAGGCAACTCTTCATCATTTGGGCGTCCCTTATGCTTGGGTCCCCTTTTAGCACTACATGTACGACATGTCTTGCACCATTCTTCCACATTTCTCCTCATACCTATCCAGTAAAATCGTTGTCGTATGTGACTCAATGTCTTCTTAATTCCGAGATGTCCTCCTGTTGAATTATCATGGGATCGACGCAGCACAACTTCCCGTAACTTCCTCGGTATAACTGTTTGCCAAATCGTCACTTTCCCATCTGTAGTTTCCCATCTCCAGACAAGAATACCATTTTCAAGCTTCAACTGCTCCCATTGCGCCCAATAGTGCTTTATCACAGGGCTTAGACTAGACACCTTCTCCCAAGCAGGGCGCACAACACTCGCTTTTAGAAAACTAATCATTGGCTTCAAATCTTGATCTTTCTCCTGCTCTGCTTTGATATCTGTATTTA